ACTTATAAAATCGCAAAGAATCTTTAAATTTCTGTGCAAACATACCGGAGGACTTCTTTCCCTACGTATGTCCAGATCGCCAAAGCCACCTTCGCCACCAGACTATCAATGTATCAATATTAGCAAGTTAAACAACTGTATTGTCTAGATTAATTATTTAAAATGCAATTATCCATTAATATTACTAAGATGTTAATTTAATAATGTTATTTGCATGCTGCATTTGCAATTGAAATGAAATTAAAAGAAAAGGAAAATTTAAATAAAAAAAAAATAAAAAAAAAAAAAAAATAATAATAAATAAAAAAACAATCAAACTAATTGTGTTACATGCTACATGCTGTTAAAACGAAATGTAAAAATGAAAAAATTGTCCACGGATTATTTTGTTTCCTTTTAATAATGAGAAAGATATTTAATCATTTTTCAATTAATTTCATATATTCAACAATAATATAATATAATATAATATAATATAATATAATATAATATAATATATTAGACGTATAAATCTTTATCTAGAAAACATTAATGAACTTGCTATATAACTCTATGCATCGATGTTTAAAAATTACCAGTTTATATGCATGAAATAATATTAAAATAGAAATTGAATGAAACAATACACACCTCCATGGTGTCCAGTGAATTGTACACCTGGATGAATAAGATTCAATGAAAGAATAATGTAAACATGATGCAAGTTAAAGCTGTCATGCATAGATACTTCTACATTCAAATAGTAGTAAAGTAGCAAAGGATAAATTTTTATATTTCTCTATAATAAGTTGTAATTTACATTGCACAACTATATGTTTTGTAACACAATTAATTACAATTAATATAATTGTATTTTGTACAGAGTTACTGCAGCAACTGTAACTACAGCAACATATATATGAAAAGAATAAAAATATGCTAAAATTTATTTTTAAATAAAATACTATTATATAATATAATAAGCAATTTGTATTATGCAATATGTATATCACAAAATGATGTATACTATAAAATATTTCCAATGACAATTATTCAAGTAAAAATGATCAAGTTTATTTTAGCTGCAAATTCCACGGAATTATATTTAGCTTTTTTAAATATGTCTCTTTCTCATTTGACAAATATTAATTAGAAATAAAAACTAAATGATATTTTAAAGATATACATTCATTTTCAATGAATATTTATAACTTTATGTGAAATAATTGTTTGGTTTTAATGTTATTACAGTGTTGCATTTATTATATTATAGCGATATTATGAGGTATAAAGAAGACATATCAACACAAAATTATATTAGATTGAATAAATGAATGTACTTACATTACGCACACCATTTTGTGATAAGCCTTCTATTTCTTCATCTACGCCAACGCTGTAAAAAAAAATGAAAAAATGAAAAAATGAAAAAATGAAAAAATGAAGTTATAGATGTTAAAAAAATAAAACAGATATGAAATACTTTTGACACTTGACACTTACGGTATATTGAACCAACTTAAGAATTGAGTTGTTGCACCGCCTTGTAAAATCACTGTCAAGATTACAATTAAACTTGTTGTAGTTAGCATGGCTTGTCTAGCATCTGACACAGTATTTCTAATTGCAAGAGCAAAACTCATAGCTCCGCGTAAACCAGCAAAGAAAAGCATGTGTTGATAATTCATTGAAATTTTTGGTTTACGTGCTAAATTTAATATGAATGATAAAGGATAAACATTGGCAGCACGTCCTAAGAGCGCACAAAGCTATTGTAATCAAGTTAAGGATATTACATGTTACATATGTACGTATAGTTATATAAACAAATGCACGCGCGTACATTTATTATAATCTTATATTCATCATTTTGAAGAGGATACAAAGCCAGCAAAGATGAAGCCTGGATCAAAGTGATGTTTTGGAAAGGTAAACATCGATACACCGATATAACTGAATATAAAATTTTCAGCTAAGAAATTTAATAATTCAAACAGATGTTTCGTTCGTTGACGAGAATCTGGACTTAAATTATTATACGTATAATGTGCTTGGCAAATGCCGCAGAATAAAACAGCAACCACACCTATAAACGCAATATAACATATTTACATTTTCTGACAAAAAATCTCTAAAATCTATTACAGTGCTATATTTATTTTTACCTGTAAGATCTGAAGCTTCTGCAATTAAAAATGTACTGTACGACATTAAAACAAACAGAGCTGATTCTAAGAGAGGAAAATCTCTAACTCTAGTAAATTTAGTTAACAATGCGGTAATACATCCCATGGTAGCACCAATGAATAGAGATAAACTAAAAATACCAACAAAATCGCCAAATGCTTGGAAGAATGCTACTGTTTCGAATCCTCCTGATCCAGACTGATAACGTTCAGCATAATTTTGTATCGAACTGAAATATAATAGAGAAGATAAATAAAATATACTTTTATAATACTTTTATAATACTTATTTCATTATATCTAATACTTGAAGGAGAAAGTTAAAATATTTACAATATACGTACCCACTGAGAACAATAGCGACTGCATCATTAAGTACACTTTCTCCAAATACTAAAGCATATAAATTAACATCTACGTGCAGATCATTAAAAATAGAAATTATTGTCAACGGATCTGTTGGAGATATAAGAGCACCAAAATATAAAGTATCCAAAAATGTAAATGATGTAGAAAGATGCGGTATTAATTGTATGAACGCATACATCAATGCTCTGAAAAGAGAGAGAGAAAAAAAAAAAAAAAAAAAAAAAAAAACATAATTCATTATAATATAATATAAAACACATGATACTCAACTAAAAAAAGTTTTTTCCGATGTTTACAAAGTATTAATAATCTTTCTTAAGAACAGATAATAGATAAAATCAATCAATGGACCATTTTAAGTACACCAAGGAGCATTACAATGAATTTAATAGAATTGTATATTATTAATAATTACCCAATGACAAATGCTGATATTGATGTTCCAAGTAGAGCATACATTAAAATTGCTCCTAAATTTCTGAAGAAATATTTCTGAAACAGGATAGTATAAATGTGCATATGTATGCTCACATCAGATGTCATTTAACCGTTTGAGTATCAAGTTGCGCGATTGCTCTGTTCAGATTTCTTATCGCGCTGTTTTTAGCATTTACTAACAACTCAAACGATTAATTTATAACAAAATAATATTACCCACTCGTTTCAAACTATATCCAGCATGAAAAATGATCGGTGGCAGTATAATATTAAAGAATATTTCTGGATCAAAAGTGGCCTGTATAATGTAAATATAAAATATAAAATCCATAATTCATATTCATGATATTTCATTGAAATAACATATTTTTCATGATAATAGAAAGTTTACCTTCAAATCAATCTCATTGTCCTCCTTATAAATTTCTCCACGAAAAGTATAAGCGAATGTTTTATTTTTAATTAAACCGCCACCTTTGTCTTCAGGAAAACGTAACCATAATGTATCTGGAGGTACTGACTGATTATATTTGCTACTATTATCCGGTACAACTGGCATATGTAATATAGCACTATTTGTTGTAAATCCATAACGAATGATTGCACCTATGATCAAGCCTACAAAATATACATACAAATGTATAAACTTCAATAATAATTAATGTAAAGAATACTTAGGTCATTATTTGCATATACACATATAATAAATATGTTAAACATATGTTCAAATATACGAGCAACTTTCCAGATCATATTTATCCTTATATAATATTGTAATATATTGTGTTGCGTTTGCTTTTTATATAAGATTGAAAATAATACTTTATGCATTAATACAAGGTTATTTAAGAAAGAGATTTATACAATATAAAGTTAAAGTTGTTCTATTATGATTATAATAATATATTGTTATAAATAAAATAATATCTTTAAAGAGAGAGAGAGAGAGAGAGAGAGAGAGAGAGAGAGAGAAAATTTGATAAAATGATTTAATAAGTATATATATATATATATATATGTACGCATGTCACATATATAGATAATACAGGTACATGACGTCGAAGTACAACCATGATGCAATTACAAAAATGACGATGTCGTTGAATTATTCCTAAACACAAAGCGACTATTAAAGTATTTTATTTTGCATAAAGCGTAATCAGTCAAGATCTATGAAACGTTTGACAGTTAAGAATAGGATGACGGTAAAATTATAAAAGATATTTAATGTTCGATAAAACTGTCGTATAGTTTACTTATTTTATTAAATATCAATTAACAGTGATGATAATATTTAAATAAGAATAAAATGTTCTGACAAATGAAGAAATGTATTATTCTTACCATAAATGACAGCTAAACCAGTTTCATGGAGGAATCTTAGTCGACGATGCTTGAATGTCCATATAGTTAATACAGTTAATATTAACAAAAATGTATAAAGAAGAAGATTCAAACTATCGAGTCTATGTAATAATTGAGCCTTAGCATCTAATTCAATATCTGTCGCTGCACCGTCGCATGAATTTAATATGAAAACAGAGAAAATGATATAAAATAAAATACGTATACCACACTCTACTGCCATCTTCACTTTTATAATATTTTCTAACGTAGATGATATCAGTATGACCAACTTACGATTGATTAACACTCTCCCAGTACTCTCCCAGCTTTTCTGTCTTTTCACGTTATATTGGTGTGGCGCTAGTGAATGGAGCTAGCAAATGGAGCTAGCAAATGGCGCTTATTTCAAATTGTTGAAATTATTATTCGTTCTCTTCGTTTAAAACTTTTCTTTCTAAGTTTAAATTTTCCACAATTTAACTGCTAATGCGAATAGTTTCAAGTTTTTTATACCGACTTTATTAACGAACATTATTATATTCTGGTTTCTATCTTCTATTTACGAAGGACGATCGTGATAATATCTAGCGGAATTCGAGGAAAGCTCGAAAAATAGGGATAAATGCTTTAGGGAAAAATAACACTTTAGTTACTAATCTTGTATTTCTATTATATTTGCTGTTTTTACACAGTTAAATTACATATCGAAATTTGTAGTGGTTAGGTTTGTTGGTTTCATTTCTTGTTCTTTAATTGCAAGTTAAAATGGGCTCGAACAAACGACATAAAGCGGAGAAAAGTCGCGATATTAAGAAAAAACGTCATCGTAGCCGTTCACGAAGTCATACGCCAGAACGTGAGAAAGTAGATAAACATAGACATCACAAGAAACATAAAAGGAAAGAACGCAAGGATTACGATAGCGATGGTTAGTTTCTTTTATTTTTTTCCTTTTTATCATGCATGTACCAGCATTATATATACATAATTAATATTTTGAATAAATAATGCATAAAATATGACCAAAGTTTTTAGGATTTTGTGCAAATATTAAAAATATTCTAGAAATATAAAATATACAGTGGCGGCCATATACTTACGTATACTACACATTTTAACTTTTAAACTTTCTTATGTTTGTTTTTCATACTTATCTGTCTGCTGACTGATTCAATGTTTTATTTCTAAGAAGTTTCGATCGTTGAGCATCTACCAACAAAAGCCTTTTCATGAGTTCCAAAAAATAAAGCTGTTTGTAAACATTGTGTTTCAAAATACAGATTTCGCAGCGGACAACTACTTACGTACACTGAGATTTGTCGTATTTAATGCGCAATTTTGAGAATGTAAACAGTATTCTTCCAGTTTCTATCGACAATTTGAATAAATTAGACGTAATATAAAGTCTTTGAGTAGTAATGAGTAAACTAAAAAATATTACGTCAGAACAACGGCGATTAGAGTGCAACGTCTCCGCAAAAGTGATAAATCATATCGACAAATATCTGCAGAACTGGAACTGTCAGTTATGACATGTCACTAAACAATCAAATATATTAAATGTAATGGGTACATCGCATAACATTCCTCGTAAGTCAAGATCTCGAAAAACTGATAGAAGTTAATTTAATATAAAATATAAAATTAAATATAAAAATATAAATATTTCCGTATGTACGTAAGTATGTGTCCGCAAGAAATTTTACTTAGGAATAGAAAAATATTACAAATTCTCTAAATATGAACAATTATAAGAATCCTTTTTTTTTTCATTTAATAATGTATGCTAGGGACTTATAAAATATTAAATTGGTTTTTGTTTATCTCTTGAATGAACATATATATACAACGATTTCAATATGATCTTGCTAGGTGTACGTAAGTATATGGCCGCTACTGTATATGGATAGATATATTTGTGTATTACACGATACTGTTTAAATTTACATTAATATTTACATAATTATTTACATTTATATTTACAGTTGAAATTGTCAATGCACCACCGCCACCAAAAATCTCAAGATTATCGCATCCTTCGACACCACCTCCGCCAGAAATTTCAAAACAACGTAGTCCATCTCCTATAAAAGATGGCATGTCGCAAAGCTCTTTATCTATTGAAGAAACAAATAAGCTCAGAGCAAAGTTAGGTTTAAAACCTTTAGAAGTTGATAGTACATCGAAAGATGATCCTAACAAAATTAAGGATGATTTGGGTGAATTTTATCATAAACCAGCAACAAATGCTAACGATCAATTGAAAACACATAAATTAAAGGAAAAAATTAGTATTCAAAAACAAAAGAGGCAGATTGAGGCTAATTTAGCAAAAATCAAATCATTAGGAGAAGATGATTCTGATGACGATACAAAAGCTTGGATCGATAAGAGTAGACGTTTACAGGAAGAGAAAAAAAAGGCTGAAGAAAGGGTAATCATTGGTTTTTGTAATAAGATTTATATATAGGATTATTTATATATACCATTTATGGTATACGTTACACTTGACCATCAGGAATGACATATTCGACGAAGATATTCATTTAATGGTAATGTAAGAAATGCAGTATAGAACAAAGCACATCAATTTGTTTAATCGTAATGAAATATTGTATGATAATATACCAATCTTTAGTTAAAACATCAAATGGCCTGTACGACAAGTTGGGTAAAAACGGCTTTTAGGGAACGTATTAAATGAAATTCCATTTAACTTAATTTTTATTTTAGGCTAAAATGTTGGATCAGTTGGACGAAGAATTTGGAATTGGGAATCTTCTTAAAGAAGAAATATCCATTTCACGTAATCTGGCCTATACGGAAAAAGATTTAAAGGGTATGATGGTGGAACACGATATAGTGAGTTATTATTTGATAATACTAAATAGATTACATATGCTTTTATCAGGGATTAAAAATTAAACTTATTAGTAAAAACAAATGTGCAATTGTATTGATTAATAATATTAATTTCGGTGTTTTTGAAATTTCATAGGAAAGTATTACAGAAGGCAAAGGAATGGTTTTAACGCTGAAAGATCAAAATATATTAAACGAAAACAGCGACGTGCTTGTAAATGTCAATATGGTAGATGAGGAACGATATAAGCGAAATGTTCTTAATAAAACGAAAAAGTTTGTTTATAACGCATACGAGGATGATCATTTAGATGAATTTGGGTTATCGAAGAAAAACATTTTAGATAAATATGATGAAGAAATAGAAGGAGAAAAAAAGGATAACTTTGTATTGGGTGCTTATAATCCAGTAGAAATAAAGCAGCGTCGTTCAGAAATTGTTAAACATCGTTTAGCAAATAAAAAGTTAGAATCATTGCAAACAAGAGAACCACAATTAGCTAGTGAATATTATAACGAGCAAGAGTTGGAAAAGTTTAAAAAGCCAAAGAAAAAGGTTCAATTTCAAATGTTAACATTAATTAGTCTGTTCTGTTGCGTTACTAAACGTTATGTTAGATAAATGTTATACTCTTTGTATTAATTTATTTTATTTCTCCTTATCTAGATTAGAAAAATAAGAACGAAAAAAAAATTGAAGGCAGACGATCTGATTCCAGAAGAAAATGATTATCTACGGGATTTAGGAAGTAGAAGAAGTAAAAAAGTCGAAGATACCAGAGAAAACGACGGTACTTTGGACGTAGACGATTTAGAAGGTATACGCTTACTTTGATCATTCTTTTTTTTATACTTTGTTATATACCATTTATTTATTTATTTGGCTATTCGTTATATTTAACATTACTGGAATGTAATATTTTATGAACAGGTCCCAAAGAAGATTTAACAGGAATCAAATTTGAGGACGACGATAAGGAATTAGAATTGCAAATGGCATTAAAGAAAGCGCACCGTTTAAAAGAATTAAAAGCGACGGATGCAAAAAATGTTTTAGAAAATACTAAGCAAGAGTCAATGGTTGTGGATGAAAATCAATCTACAAATATAGTTCTTAATGCTACCGCAGAATTTTGTAGAACTTTAGGAGACATTCCTACGTATGGACTTGCTGGTAATAGAGAGGAAAATGGACAAGAACTTATGGTACCTTCTTCTTTCTTCTTTTTTTTTCTTTTTTTTTTTTTTTTTTTTTTTAATTTTTATTAAATAACATTTATTATTTTAAGATAAAATATTTATATTTCTTCTTTTCTTTTATTTTCACTTTTTCTCTACAGGACTTTGAGGTAGATGGAATCAAAGATGAGATTGTTTCCGATGAAGAAGAAGATGATGGTCGTGGTGCATGGAATACTGTACATTTGGGTATTTATTTTCTACTGCTTTATTTTTTACTGTCAATATTATAGCATAAAAGCTTTTTATATTTATATAAATAATCTCTTTTTCTCTCTGTCTGTCTGTCTGTCTATCTGTCTTTATGTTGCGTGTTTAGATGAAAGCAAAACGGAGCCTATAGCGCTGGAAGCTGCAATTTTAGATGCAGAGCCATCCCTTGGCCAAGGTGTTGGCGGAGCGTTAAAATTAGCAATGAGTAAGGGATATTTACAAAAAGAAGACAGTAACAGGCCATCTGCTTCTCGTTTCGCACATTTACAAGCTCAGAATTATTCTATAGAAGACAAGACATATGGGTATGTATGTCTTATTTTTTTGTTCTTTTTGTCTCTTTTGCATTTTCTTAGTACTTTTACATTGTTAAGCGATTAAGAGAGTAATGATGAAGATAAGAAATTGGAAAGAAGCTTTTAATAAATTTTAAATTGTTTTTTTTTTTTTCGTGTAGCATAATTTCACAATTTTGGATGTATTCAATGCGTGTGTATGTTACTTATTTTTTTCTTTTTTTTTTTTTAGAGATGATGATAAATTTGGAAGAAGAGATCGTTTCAATGGTCCTACGTCAGATTTTAAAGAGAAAGACGGTTTTAAACCAAATGTTAAATTAGAATATATAGACGATGATGGACATGTTTTAAGTGCTAAGGAAGCTTTTCGCTACCTATCGCATAAATTTCACGGAAAAGGACCTGGAAAGAATAAGGTAATCTATTAAATCTATTAAATTGATGTTATATATGAATGAATGAATTTTATGGAAGAAAAATATTTATAACATAAATATTGATACAGGTGGAAAAGCGTATGAAGAAAGCTGAACAAGAAGTCTTAATGAAAAGAATGTCTTCGACGGATACACCTTTGGGAACACTTAATTTATTACAAGCAAAGCAAAAAGAAACTCAATCACCGTATATAGTTCTCAGTGGTAGTAAACAAATACAGACGTAAATATTCTTTCTTATTTAATATATATCATTATACAGTATTTTCATGTTTATATGTTATTTGCAAATATAAACAGTTGTTCTTTTTCTTTCTTCAGGCCAAGTATATCGAAAATAAAACATTGAAGAGGAGAGGGTGAGAATGTGAGATTTCGAATTTATCGTAAAAAGAAAATATACATCATTATGTAAATTAGCACTGCGATGCAATTAAGTCATATGGATTATTACAATACACAACTGTTGTGGAAATAAATACTGATATATTAATTTTACTTTATTATCAAATTAATCGAACACTTTTACAAAATAAGCAACTTCGGTATATTATTTTTGTATAATTTATTTTCCATTAAAATACATTATCATACGATAATTTTTATGCATATTCAGAGATCGATAAATCTTGGTACAATGTTCTTATTTAGGTTCTATCTATTATTTATGTGGTACAAAATATGTAGATATTAATGTTTAATGTTATCATATTTTGTAAATAAATAATTGAATATTAAACTACACCAAATTTTTACTATCTTTTTGTTAAACCTATCTCTATGTAACACGTATTTTATATATACAATAATATGTATATATAATTGGTATAATAATTGGTATATATAAACCCCAACTATAATATATCGTCCCAGCGAGAATAATTTTTACAGTGAAAGTTTTTCATTATTTGAGACTTTTTTTGTATTGTCAACATGAATTGGTTATTCAAAGATTATTACAGTTTTCTTTAAACATCTTGTGATAATTACAAGGACACCCAAAGGGTTCCCGGTAGTATTCTCGTGTCAGCGATTTAAAAAGCAATTCGTCATAATTTTGTCAATAACCAATATCATAATATCAATATTAAATATTTTGTGAACCAGAGCTTTGAAAAAGTATAATTTTTATAATTCAGTAAAATTTAATCGATCCATCCTTATTTATTCGATTCATACATAATACTTTCGCGTAATTTGCAATTCTTTTTAAAAAATCTTAATCTTTGGAAAATACTAGTGGTATCGGCTAAACTCTGTGAATGATGCAGTATGCTAGAATGCATATGGTAGAATGCAAAAAGTATATATTTTGTTATACGAAATTCTACTAATTATTAAAATATATGGATTATTTTGTCTTTTAACTTTATGCATTATCTTAACATTTTCTCCCTTTTTAAACTTATTTTGGCACATATATAAAGTACTTTTTTATAAATATTTTTAAATCAGATCAGCATTCAGATCTATATTTTTAATTCCAATCCAAGAACGTTACATCCAAAAGAAGAAGAGTCCATTACACCATTGGATCAATGGATATATATTGCATTTTTTTACGGCTAACGATTAGAAGATTTGTATTGATTATGTTATCCTAAGAAGAGTTTCATTCTATAATATTATGTAAAAATAGAATGCAGCAGCTGCAGTAACAAAGAATAATCAAAACAAGAATCTGTCAAAAGGTAAGCATTGCAATCTTGTATTTGTAAAAAACAAACCTATATCAAACTGATTGATAAACTGATTCATTCCACAGGGGAGGGAAATAATTTGACTAAAAGTTTCTACTCATTATTATCAAGATTGATAAGAATCTATCATCAATCATCAATACTACAACTATGAAAGATTTTTGAAGACACTACCCTCAATATACTTACAGTTGGAAAAAACCATACTTAGTTCTATTCTATCAATAGAATTTCAGAAGGAATGCATCCTAGTTATCACAAATTGAGAAAACAAATGGCAAATACATTCTAATGTGCACTTCTTAATATGTATTAAATTTATTAATGTACTTCTTACTGGGAATCGACTAAGACCAGAAAAATGTATATATTTGTAAGTTATAATAATGTCATTTTTGTAGAAATACCAGCATGTATTATATTATGCAAATGGGATGCATCTATAGTGAGAAGAAACAAAATTCTAGACAATAATATGTTAAGAGGTAAAAATAATAATGTTGTTTGAAGAAGAAGTAAATATTATAATATTGTTTAAAATACATTTTTTTTTATCGTATAAAAAATGAGTTACATTACATTAATTTTTTATAATTTAACATAAATTTATTGGGAAATTGGTAATTTATTACCGACAGGTAGAATATGTGGCGCCATCTAGACGAAAGATAACACATCGGTAAGACAAAATCAAGATAACTACCTGTCAATGTACTTTGAATACCGCAAAACAGTCCACGTGCAGTGTAAAGTATTTAATTAAAGAAATTCTTAGTGATGCATTAATAAATAAGTTATATTTTGTATTTGTATTAATTCAAATTCGTTTCATATTCTTTTTTTAGTGATCGCCAATTCAGCTTAAATAGAAAACCATTACACTTGTGGCTTTGTCAGCTGAAGAAGAAAACCATTGCACTTGATGTTTGGTCAGTTTAAGAAGAAAACCATTGCACTTGATGTTTGGTCAGCTTAAGAAGAAAACCATTGTACTTATTATTATGTAAACTTAAAAAGAATATCATTGTACCTTTTATGTAAACTTAAAAAGAATACCATTGTACTTGAGAGGTTATTTCAGATTAACACTTTCCGTGCCAAGCTTTTTTTTACGTGTCATATCATCCAAGCCATTTAATTTTTCTTTAACAAAATCAACCATTACATGTAATTATTAATTATTGTAAATTTAACAATCAAACAAAGGGTATAGCCGGATAAGTATGGGAAATCTGCCCCCGTGGCTTTTTTGACTCGCACTTGGGGGATCGATTTGGTGTCGAATAAAAATAATTCACCCCAAATTTTAGCTCTTTTACTCAAACGGTTCTCGAGATTTTCAAAAAAACCTGTTTTTTCGATTTTTTTTTTTTTTTATAGTAAAATTCAAAACTAATCAATGATGATTTTTTTTCTAGTTCTTAGGAGTCTAAGACATGAAAAAAAAAAATATGATCATAATATTTTAACGAAAAGCCGATTTTTGACGGACGAAAGAAAATTAAATTTTTTTTTTTTTAGCTTTTTTGAAATATGTCAGTCACCAAAGTTTTTCAGAAAATGTCTTTTATATTCCTCTACATTCAGGAATTTTCTTGAATTTTTTGAAGTGGTGGAACAATATGAAAAAAATTAAAAACTCATTTTTTTTTCTAAAATCCCAAGTTTTAACTAATTTATATTTTTTTTTTCAGTTAAAAAAAAAATGTGAAAAATTATTTTTTTACTCAAAATACACTTTGCCAGAAATAAACCTAAAAATTATTATAAAACAATTAAGATATATTCCGTCTAACGTAATTAGAAGGGTTATTGATTATTGAAAATACATTTAAAGATAGTACTTATATATTCTTTATACGGTTAGATATTATTCTAAATCTTATGCAACAAAAATAAAAATTATAATAAAAGATGTAACTATATTAGTCTTCATCACTGTCTTCATTCACTACGACACTAATTTTTTCATCGATGAACAAGCGACTCAGGATCTCAGCAGGTCTTACAATTTTCGCCAAATATCGAGCGTAAGATAAATAATATATGATAGCAGCAATGTGAGAGCAACATCCAAYAGTGCGTYTACCATTYGCACAATCACAACAATATCGAGTTATTCCGGAAATATCGTTCTTATCTGGCTGATATTCAATAAAACAACGATATGTCTTCGAATTAATATGTCGAGATCTGACTTCAAACTTTATAATATTAGGTGTAATTTTTAAATAATAGAATGTTATTATTCCATTTTCATCCATCATCTCAGCTAAATACGATACAGCTTGAGACATTTGATATGATCCAGTGAAAAGAATTTTGAGTTCTTGCTCTGATAATTCTGGAAAGTCAGTTAATTGTTCTGAAGTTATTATTGCAAAGGGAACTTTTCTTCTGGCCCAACGATTAGTTTCTATCTCCAAGGTTAAAGTATTCTCTTGATCTTTTTTTGAATTCATGGCAGCAACTATTTTTTCTGTAAGATCAAGATCAGAATCAAGTCTTGTTCCAAATTCATTGTGCAAAAAACAAGCGATTCGACAAAAAACATTAGTTTTTGGAAGCAATTTGTTATCCAGTTTATGATTTAATAGCTTAAACTTCTGTTTAATATTGCCATGTACTGCTTCAAAAACACAACGAATTTTGATAACGAAACGGGATTTATTCGATTCATCTGTGCTCACCTGATTGCGTTTTCCTTTGAGAGCAGGCATTAGCACTTTGAACCCTAATTCTTCTAAGTATACAATCACATCACGAAAGCCACGATCAACCACAATAATGTCATCTTTTTTCAGCAATTTAATCAGACCATTGGGGTCATTTAAGATYACTCTYATWATTTCAGCATCGTTCATATTAGCTGTATATGGCCCAAGCATATCTATAACGAAACCATTCGCAGTGCATATCGTGAATGGTTTACACAAAGGAACCTTTTTTTGACCAGAATATGATTTCCTCTGATATTCGTTATTTGCACTTTTTTCATGACGAATATATGTTCCATCACAAATGAATATCAACTGGTCATYTTCTACATGATACAATTTTTTAGCAGTGTTTGACGTATTAGTGAGTAATGTCTCCCTACTGATAGCATCAATTCCAAAATGCTGAGGTAAAACATCTTTTTCAAAC